AGGACGGAGGAGGAGGAGGAGCCCCGCCCCCCCCCGTTCCGTTCACTGGTTAACTACAAGAGAAAGTGGGGCTCCATTAATCATTGCTATTACTGTTTCAGAATCCCTGGGTTATGAAGTTGAATGCACAGCTGGGGATAAGGAGTCAAATAAGGAAAATCTGTGGCTGGTCCTGGTTTTTCCTTTTGTTTATATAGTTACGGATTGATGTGTGTGCCACATTCTTCCAAAGCAGTGTGCAGTGTACAGCACCTCACAGAGGACACCAAAGTTGCTAGTAATGTCATAAGCCACGCTACTGAAGACTTATAAGAAATGTAGAGTGAAATTGCAACATTCCTCCCCCTCTGCCCCAGGCAAACTGCTGGGACATTTAAAGGCAAATTATGTGTTTCAATTAATTATGCATGTTATTATAGTTGCCCTATGGTTTATGGAGGAAAGGAGGTGATTCAAGCCAGTTTAATGATAAGAGTTTCCCTTGCCGCTCAATGCACCTTTTGCTATTTTTATATGTATTATATTACAGCTTAGTTGGATGATGATGTTGCTCTGTTTAAAGAATAACAAAAAGTCAGTTAGTCACAGGTTGCTAAATTTTATCACCTTTTTCTAAGTAGATAATCTGCAATAATTGCATCATCTATTGCCTTATTATAACGGCAGCCCCATTTGTATCGCTAACAATTGCCAGTTTTCCTGTTGGGGTGACTCATGACTCAATTAAGCATGTTGTGTTTGGGGCCAATATTTGCAGTTTAAGTAATAGAGAGGCCCAATATGTTTGCCAGGGTCTTTTGTAGCATGTAGCTAACAAAGTTGCATTCCTTAGGAGAACAGTGGAGCAGTCTTGTCCACTTGCTATGCCCTGAGTCAGTTTGGAGCTTGAACCCAATTCTTCATCAAACCCTTGTGGAATTCCTTTGGAGCTACCTCTCCTTATAGCTGTGTTCCTTGACTTTGAAGTCCTGTGTTCCTACAGGTCAATTTCCTCAAGCAAGGGTGTGGGGAGGATAAAATCTGCCAAAGCAACCTGCAGCTGAAATACAAGTTCCACTCTCGTGTTGATGATGCTGTATTCCAGCCTCTGCCCAGGTATGAACAAAATCCAGATTCTCGCTTGATGATGACAGTGATGTTATATCCCAAGATTCTTCTAGGATTAATAATGTAGTTGATGTACCAAATATATAAAAATAGTAACAAGAAACACAAATGAATCACCATTACCAAGGCTTTGCAACTTCAGCATTTTAGCATGCCTGAAAGGGTTGTGGGATGCTACAAAGGTCAATGTTATCAGGAAATCAGTTGATCCTCCTCTTTCAGAATCAGTAACATGAGCTTTCGGGGAGGTATTTGGGAGGAGGGATGAAAGGTCAAAGACCATTTTGGGAAAGAATTTCAGGAGTTTTAAGAGGTAAAACAAGCGGATTAAGGAACTGCAATAACAGGCCCACATTTTTCACCTTACCCACTATTAAGGAGCCCTTGGCTGAGGCTGGTTTAAGCTAATAGGTATTAGTCCAATTAGAAATTCTAATTTTAAAGGTTTCCTAACTTGCCACAATTATGTCATGTCAACATTTCAATTATCATCTTTGTTTCTTTCCTCCAGAGGTGATGATGGCTTGGATGTTTTTTCCATGAGTGATCAGAAAGGCATAGCCCTTGGAATCTCTATCACTAACTTTCCTTCAATCCCTGATGATCCACAGCGGGATGGTGATGATGCCCATGAAGCCATGCTGCTTATCTCATTGCCACCTACCTTGACTTATGCTAGTCTGCGGCACTACAATGCAACGGTACCCTTTGGAAAATGCTACATGGTGTAGCCCATAGGGAGAGCCAAGGGAAGGGCCAGTCTAAAGGACAGATTGACTGCCAGAAATCTGATGATGTTGGAGAGGGTGCTTCTAGAGAGAGATGGCAGCGTCAACTGGGGTTGAAGGCTGAGTGAAGTTTAAAGAAATGGCTCACAAGGGACTGTGTGAGACAGTGATACAGACTGTTAATGCTGTATAACATCTGGGTTTTGGAATTACCGTAGTAGTGCTGTAGCTGGGATTTGAAGAAGGATTCCAGCTGGGCTGGTAGTTACGGCTCAGAGATGGAATGTGTAGCTCTGTGGGCTATGACTAAAGATGCTATTGTTAAGCTCCAGATGCAAGGGGAGAATGCTTCTGGAGGCAGGAAGGGTTGTACCAGGATAACAGAGACCCATAGAGAGTAGCACAATTATAAATCCCAGAAGTTATGAGGATGATGAGGCCAATGGGGGTTGCATAACTGCACTGGAGCATTCTCAGTTTTAGGGGAGAATGGCTAAAGTAGGATTGTGCTGCATCGTCAAGAATTAATTTGAACAATGATGCCATTCTGATGATGACAGCACAGAGGTGCCACTGTTTCTTCCTCTGGGGGTAGAAGCACTTTCAAGTCTTTGTGCATTCATTCAGATACAGATTCAGCACATTACATATGTTTTTAGCTGTTAATATTGTTTGAAGAAGAGGTAGATAACATATTGTGGAATTCTTGATAACATCTCACTCGCATGCATGCACACTCTTGTACAAGAAAAGAGAGAGGCTACATGAGTCATTATTGATAGCTCTACAATTTCATGCTGTTGGTTCAGGTCTTGCTATATTTTTCTCAATTCCTTCAAGTGCCAGATCTTGGAAGAACCAAGTAAATGTTCAAGCATGCAATGATTGATTGTAGTTGAACCCTTCTTGTTTTTCACAGGAGAAGATTCCATCCTGTGTGTCTAACCAGAATGCTACATATGTGGAATGTGAGCTTGGGAACCCCATGAAACGTGGAGCACAGGTGAAGGGCAGTTCCCCTTTGTTACCTTCCCTGCAAACAGAGCTTGCCTTGCTTTTCCACAACTCTTATTTCCATCCCTGCTTCCTCTCTTTCTCCCCCCCCCCAGTTTCGGTTCTACCTTGTTCTGAGCACGTCAGGCATTACCTTGGAGACCACAGAACTGGAAGTAAACCTAGAACTGACCACGTAAGTCATTCCTTTCTTCCTCATGAGAATTGGTTTTTTATTGCTGGATCAAAGAAAAACACTTTCCTTAAGCTTTTCTGCTAGTTTTGCAGATCTCATCCCCAGGGAGTGGTGTCCATGCAGGGAGGAGTAAAAAATGTCACAATGGTGACCATGTGTCAGTCCTATGAGGTAGACCACATCAGTAAACCAACTCCACAGGAAGGTTGAAGCTATACTTTACAGGTAGTTCATGGTTAACAACCTCTTGTTCAGCGACCGTTTGAAGTTATGATAGTGCTGAATGAGTGGTACTTAAGACCGGTCCTTGAAGTTCTGGCTGTCCCATCACCCAGCAGCAGCCACCCTGGCCCCACCATGCTCGTTTTGTGCCTCAACGGCCACCCATGCACCCTTGCACACCCAGCAGCAGCCACCCCGGCCCTGCTGCGCTCACATTGTGCCTCAAAAGCCACTCGCATGCCCTCCCCCACCCAACAGCAGCCCTTACCTGCCTGCCTGCCTGCTTGGGAGCCGCCTGGGATTTGCGGCTTTCTGCCAGCTTCCCCATTGACTTCGCTTGTTGGAAGCTGGCAGGAAGTTGCGATGACGGCCTCGCTTAACGACCCGCAATCCTTGCTTAACAATGGCAACGGGGAGTGCTGGGATTGCCATCTCTAAGCAATGCAGTCACGTGACAATGTGCTTTACAACTGCATCGCTTAGTGACAAAAATTCCAGTCCCAACTGCCATTGTTAGCTAAGGACTACCTGTATTGAGACAGGCTCAGTAACAGGATCTTGCAAGCCCAATTGTGCTTTACCTCCCCTCCCTCTTATACTCCAGTGAATCAGGGAGAAGCTTGCCTGAATCTCTTCCAAATACTGTACTATTTTGTTTCCCAGGACTTAAGAAATGTTTCAGCCCTCCTTGCTTATGTAACAATACTTGCCTCTTTCCCTCTAGGTCATCTCCCTGATTCTCTACACCACGGCCCTGTGATTGAAGCACTGACCCTTTTTTATGTGCGGTGCAAGTAAAAAGGGGTGGGGCTTCAATCGTGCAGTCATAGTCACCATCCTGACATTTTTTTACTCCTCTGTGGATGTCCCTCACTATACAATTTAATTATGTTAAGGGGGACGAAGATCCAAAGTATTACCAGGCCAAAGCTTGGGTTTACTTGAGTTTTTAAAACTCCTTATGAGATATATTCAGGAAAGCAGGGTGTCATCCACTAAGTCTGCAGAAGTGTCAGGGAGTAAGATGGCTACGAGTGGCAGGAATTGACATGTCCCCTTGAGGAAGGTGGGAGATGAATTCAATATGTTTATTTAATAAACATAAATAAAATGTGCCAAATCTTACCCTACTAAGCTCCTGTATTTCCTTCCTCACAGGATATCCGAGCAGCCTGGGTTGGCCCCAGTGGCAGCGCGAGCCCGAGTGATCATGGAGCTTCCTCTCTCAATTACTGGGTAAAAACAACTTGGGAAGCATTTGTTTTGCCCCAAATAATGTGTTTTTTCCCCTCAGGCTAAGATACATTGATACCCCAGGCCCTATTCACGTGGCTATTGAAAATGAATGAAAGAAACTATCCTTTTTTCATTCAGTCAAAGGACATGAAGCAGCTTCATTCAGCCCAGGACATGGAGCAACTGTCTGTGGAACTGGGGTGGCTGGCTTTCTAGCTCTCTGTCTGTTGAGACTTTTATCTATCTCTCTGCAGGCTGCCTGAACCAAAGCAACTCTTCTTCAGTGGGGTGGTCCAGGGTGAAAGTGCCATGAAAAAGGAAAGTGATGTGGGCAGCCCAGTGAGCTTCAGTGTGACGGTGAGCGATACTGATGCCTTCCGATCAGAGTTGGATTTCATGGCTACTACTCCTTTGTGTTGATGCCGGCTATGTCTGGAGCAGGGTTAGGCAGCTTTGTCCCCTCCAGTCAGTGATAAGGGATTGTAAGAGTTATAGGTCAAAGCAAAAAAAAAAAAAAAGTTTCAAAAATAAATGCTGATAATATTTGGAATAATGAATTTGAGTATCCTATACTTCCCAATCCATGGCTCCAAGTTTTAAAGAATAGTACCATAGTTATGTTTCCTATGACTTAAAAACTGGCTAATTTAGGGGGGAAAAGTCTCTTTTGAGTCTATTGGATCTCTCTTCAATGCTTCAAAAAGGTTGACTCTCATTGTTTTTATGCTGGAGATATATGATATGATATGATATGATATGATATGATATGATATGATATGATATGATATTATATAATGTAATATTTGGGAACAGTTTGAACCTGCTGGACCTGAGGAAGTAGACAGGGTCCTTACGGCTGTAAGCTCAGCCACCTGCTCTTTAGATTCATGCCCTTCCTGGCTAATTAAAGCAGTGGGTTCTAGCGATGGCTAATGCT